TTTAGCGCATTTTTTCATTTATATACTTCAAAAAATACTTCATTTATGAAAAAAGCGCTATTGTACTCGTCATGTCCGTCTGTCTGTCCGCCATCTGTCCGTCTGTCCGTGACTTCACGTTTTCGTCGACGAGAAAATGCGCTTTCGGTCACTTACTGCAGTGAGTACTGAGTTATATTTTCCTTATTTAATTTTTTTACATAAAACCTTTTCTTTAAATCTCATTTCTGACAATAATAGAGGATTGTACGTGAACCCCGGCATCTCATTTCATCACAGGTATCCCCAATCTCGTAGGCCTGTTATTTTAACCGTTATAAAATATAACTGTTATATGTTATATATAAATATAAATATATTTTCAAGCAGGTTTCATTGAAGACCAGAGAATTTGTTTTATTCGCAATTTTCTTATTAGTTTTTTCAATATATCGAACAATATTTGTCAAGGAAGTGTGCGTTACCTGGAAGAGTGTAACGCCAAGGAAGTGTGCGTTACCTGAGAGTCTAAAGCATTACCGGAGAGTGTGAAGCGTTACCTGAGAGCGTAAAGCGTTACCTGAGAGTACAGCATTACCTGAGAGTGTAAAGCGTTACCTGAGAGTGTAAAGCGTTACCTGAGAGTCTAAAGCATTACCTGAGAGTGTAATGCGTTACCTGAGAGTGTAATGCGTTACCTAAGAGTCAAAAGCATTACCTGAGAGTGTAATGCGTTACCTGGGAGTGTAAAGCGTTACCTGAGAGTGTAAATCGTTACCCGAGAGTGTAAAGCGTTACCTGAGAGTGTAAAGCGTTACCTGAGAGTGTTAAGCGTTACCTGAGAGTGTAAAGCGTTACCTGAGAGTGTAAAGCATNGAGTAGAGGGGGAGTAGAGGGGGAGTAGAGGGGGAGTAGAGGGGGAGTAGAGGGGGAGTAGAGGGGGAGTAGAGGGGGAGTAGAGGGGGAGTAGAGGGGGAGTAGAGGGGGAGTAGAGGGGGAGCAGAGGGGGAGTAGAGGGGGAGTAGAGTGGGAGTAGAGGGGGGGTAGATGGGTTAGATCGTCCACTCTTCTGTCATTTTCAGCAACGAGCCTCAGACCCCAAATCTTTCACCTTTAGTCTCCTAATTACATTCCATAATATAATATTTATAATAAACGACATTATCTTCATTTATAAATTACCTGGAACCATGACGTTTCCGAATACCATCGGCCGGTGTAGGCCTCCGAGTAGGCCTAGGCAGAACAGGCCTAAGTAAACTAGGCTTGGAAACATCCTGTGAAGAAGCTGAACTAGGTTTACCTAGCTGAGCTAGGTGGACTAGATATGGCAGGGAAACTGTGAATAAAATACCAACGTACATCAATGAAAAACAAGGATATATTACAATTAAGGTTCGAAGAAAAAAAATTCAATCACAGCCAGCAGAATTAGATGGGCAGGGTGGCCCAGTGGTTACAGTTCAGAGTACCAGAATTGGCGCAGAGAGGCGCGGGTTCGAGACCGCAACAAGCTGTGAATGTTCTGCGATGTTAAGAATCGGCGACAGGCCTACGCGGCCTATTATACGCTGAAATCGCCATGTTATATTATATTAAATTATATTATATTATATTATATTGAAAATGTAGCTCCATGTAGTCACTGCACAGCGGTTCTCTGATATGCTGCCTCACTGCCACTACCTCCAATCACCGTCGATGTTGTCGTACATTTCAATATGGCGGCGTTCTGGTGAAGGAGTTCAGTAGTTCCATTCTCTATGCGTTTCGCATTCTTATTTTAGAATGTCATAGTGCGACTCTATCGGGGTCGACGATTCAATTTTCCTATTTTAGCGCATTTTCTCATTTATGAAAAAAGGCGCTATTGTGCTCGTCATGTCCGCCCATCTGTCCGTCTGTCCGTCTGTCCGTGACTTCACGTTTTCGTCTACGAGAAAATGCACTTTCTGTCACTTACTGCAGTGAGTACCGAGTTATATTTTTCAATTTTTTTACAACAAATGTTTTCTTTAAATCTCATTTCTGACAATAATAGAGGATTGTACGTGAACCCCGGCATCTCACTTCATCACAAATATCCTCCAATTTTGAAGGCCTATCATTTTAACCGTTATAAAATATAACTGTTATATGTTATATATAAATATAAATATATGTAAGATGTTAAATATAGTTAATTAGTAAATAATTAGTTAATGTTAATGTTAATTAGTAAATAAGTTAAGATGTTATTTATAAATATATATAACATCTTAACCTTTCTAGCTCGGACATATGCAATCATCAAGCAGAGATAAGGGACCGGTTACCAAACGGTCGGTTGCAGGCTGTATTTTTTAATAGAAAGTTCTATGTGGTTGTGGGTTCCTAAAACGTTAGTTGGCACCTCTACCCGTAATCCTATTCCTTCCTGATTTTCAGAACAGTTTAATTTTATGGTATATCAAAGTAATATATTTTTTCAATCACTGTTTCAAATCAAATAGATTCGTAAAACTAAAGTTTATATTTAATTGGGCGATTTTAATTAATTATTGATATTTTGAAAATTACATTATATTATTAAATACTAACATAATTGAATTCTTGGTCGATAAAATTTATATAAAATAGCCCATGTTGAATTAATTAGCGCTATTTTTATAATCCGTATAATTCATTTCGTACGAATGCATAATAATGCATTTCGTACGAATACAATGCATTTCGTACGAACACAATGCATTTCATACGAATACAATGCATTTCGTACGAATAAAATGCATTTCGTACGAATACAATGCATTTCGTACGAATAAAATGCATTTCGTACGAACACAATGCATTTCGTACGAATACAATGCATTTCGTACGAATACAATGCATTTCTTACGAATACAATGCATTTCGTACGAACACAATGCATTTCGTACGAATACAATGCATTTCGTACGAATACAATGCATTCCGAACGAATACAATGCATTTCGTACGAATAAAATGCATTTCGTACGAACACAATGCATTTCGTATGAACACAATGCATTTCGTACGAACACAGTGCATTTCGTACGAACACAGTGCATTTCGTACGAACACAATGCATTTCGTACGAATACAATGCATTTCGTACGAACACAATGCATTTCATACGAATACAATGCATTTCGTACGAATACAATGCATTTCGTATTAACACAAGAAAAGCGATTTTATAATTTTCTGCCGAAGATTTTGTCAGTTTTTTTTAGCAAAGTGGAGATTTCTAATCTGCGTTGACAACTTTCCACAGATTAGTTTGTATTCTATAGAGAATCACTGCAATATATTAGTTTTTGGTTACGTAGAAATCATTATTTCCAAGGTTAGTTTTCTGTTGGGACTGCCAAGGACATCGAACATATGCTTAGCGAGCGATTCAGAGCTTGTTAAGCGCGCACCCTCCCTACGCCACGTCATGAAGAGCACTGAGTTGTGGGTTGCCCTGTGCCAAGGCTGCCAGATGTTGCCAGGAGAAAACGGCCAAATCCGCTCAAAAAAAAGTGCAAAGCACATAATTTTACCGGCCAATGCAGTTTAAAAAAGGCCCATTTCGTTGTATTAGACCGAAAAAGGGCAGATATGGCAATTTAGATTCCATTTTGGTATATACCTTGAGAGATGACGGGCTCTGCTGCCAGAAATTCCTTCGTAATCGTTGCCCTAATCCTTTAATTTTATCTAGAAAACCAAATTCATCCTTTTTTCGAAATTTAGGATTGCAAAAACGTTGAGATTTTTTAGTTACCCCGCACGCAAAAGTGTAGAGCCGGTATTTTCATACGTAAATGTTCAGTCTGTAAAGTGAGGACCGCATAAATGCCTGCTTAGTTCGTCTGTAAATATATGGTCCGTGCAATTATATCCACAAATCACGTTGGTTATAATACATGGAATAATTTCAATATTTTACCGTTTATTACGTTCATATTTTTGTAAGACCAAACGTTTATGGTATTTCGTACCGGTACGACTTACAGTTCATTAGTGGACACAAAATATGATATTTATTATTAAGTATAAGTCTTTATTCACATATACTATAGGCGTGTGAAAGGTATGCATAATTATTCATTATTCCAGAAATAAATAAGGTGCAGCGGAGGAATATAGAACTATTTCATCAATTCATGCGGCTGAATTTCGAAATATTTAAAATTCGGAAGCACTTGTAGTATTAGACATTTTGGGATTTTTATTTTGTAATAAAATTATAATTTACCTTTACCTTGGCAACACCGTTAGGAAGTTAACGTCGCGCACACAATTTTCTCGTTGATCATTATAGAATAGAATATAAGTGTCGGCACTGAAGAAATAGGCCCATGGCCTGTTGCCGATTTATGAATTTTTCGTGACTTGATTCACAAGGGATCCGGCCTTTGGAACCCGATCTTTCCATAACTGACGATTGATTGAGAAAGCTGCTGGACTTATTGCCTGGTCCGTCATTATCCATATTATCATTCGGCTGATCCCCGCTGAAGATATGCACGTTGCCAAGGGCATTATTTACACTATTTTTTTATAGCTTAATATTTATTTTCAAAGCCCACCTTGTTGTCAATTTACCCTGCATTAAAATCTCAGATCCAGTCTTTAATTTTCAATCCTGTTGTTTTACTGTATGGGTAAAGACTGGCTTACCCAACAAACTTTTAATTTAGTACCCGTGGTTCACCTAGAACCATGCCCGAATTAAAGAGGGTTCTAAATTGGGACAATGATGTTCAAAATAAAGTTCTTTGTTGACTTATTTACTAAGAACGAAGATAGATATACAAAATATACAAGAAACACAATTTGATCTAAGCCAAGTTCGTGATCTGGAGAGGTCGCCACATACAATTCATCTATGACATCGCAATGAATATTGTTTATTACAATTCAACAATCAACATACATGTAAATATTGTATATTGCAGTGCAACATAAAATGAAAACTCAACATATAAATCACATTTAATTGCTTCTTTTGACTTGTAAATCTCATTTTATTTCAGCCAAATAAAGATGTATTGTTCTTCCTATCCCAATATTTATACTAAACATCTGTTATGTAGATACTCTATAGAAGTATTTACTCACTATATATTGTGACTGAAGATTCTGAAAATCGTGACCTGTAGCCTCTATAAGTCTACCTATTCAAGAGTCTATAATGGCAATTCGATGCCTATAAATTAATCAACTTTTAAAGTTTTTATCTCGACTATACTATAACCGGACATGGGGTTTGGGCTCATGGGTACAGTACATTGAGGGAAATTGGTGGGTCTGTATGACCCACTTAGATGAGTCAACCGCGTCCAAATAGCGATGCACTTTTTTGACTCACTTTCCCCATTTGTGGGTCATTATGACTATAGCTCGCCCTTTATATTTCAGGTATGACTCATTTCTGGAATCGAAACGCTCTGACGCCACAAGTGAGTCATCTAGACCCACCCATTTCTCTCAGTGTGGAAAAATATATGTATTGATTGTTGTATTTACTTAATATGCAACCTGTACTCATAGTTATATTGCAACGAAATCCCTCGCTTCTTCACCAGCAATTTCTGATAATTTCATGTATTTATTCTTTTTTCATGTCCGATGCAAATTAAATGTTTTTCTTGGAAATCAGTAAGACAGAACACGCACCTCGTTCCTACAATTTTAAAATAAGTACCATGTATGAATATACGTTGAAACGGTTTAGGAACATGAAACCGGAATTTACTTAATAGTAAATATTGATTTTTGCGTCGTGAACATTAACGAATTAAAATTTAGTGCCGATCAAAATCGAGACATTTTTCTACGCGCAGCAGTCTGGTTCAAATGAAATTCACCTGAGAACTATCGAGCTGAAAGCATGAAAGGATTGGTCGTCTGGCAGTGGCTGGTCGGTGATCTTTTTGCGGGTTCTCACACGCAGGTACGCGGCCAGAAGTACGACAACTGCAACCATAGCGAGCACCAGGCCTACGCCCATCATCAGTTCCGACGCGGACTTGACGGAGAAGGGGTGTGTTGGTGTCGGCTCTGTAGAAGTAAATGGAATTGTGCGTATGAACTAAATTTGTTACTTATTGAATGGTACGCTTTTCAAATTCTTTTATCAATAGTTCCTGTCGTACAAGTTTTTTTTCCAAAAATTTTTTCGGAATAAAAATGGGGCAATTAGATGTTATTTTTACACTCAATGAAGTGCCAAATATTGCCTCCGCCTTTTAATCAAAGTTCTGAAGGCAACATAATTTATCGATAGAGCAATTGGAAATGAAGTAATTCATTGTGTTATAGATATTTACGTGAGATTATAAGATTCAGGCAGACAATAGAAGTTACAATGGTCATGATTTTAATTGGTATTATTTATTATCTTATGTCTTCAAAACAATGTTAATAAAGAATAAGAGCCTGCTGACTCATTACCATATCAAATTAAATGTTTCACGTGAATAATACATGGTAAAAATTACACATCAGACTGACATTCTTGTATAACTTGCTAATAATATATTGGCGGGTTTGTCGCTCGTATGAAAATGTTGTATACAATGTTGTTGATGTAGTTCCATTCCCCATTCTCTCATTTCTTTATTAACTAAAACAGCATATCTATGTTGCCAATTATGATATTTCTCAATTTGTCCTTACTCTCACGCTGAACGATGTTGCCATCACGCTGGTCAGAGAAACCTCTCTCGATGTCCTCTGGCGACAAAACCTGTAGTTTGTTGGCCACCTTCAACACTCCGTCAACCCTGCCGGCATGGAGACCTTTTTGCCTGTTCCATTTTGGGTCGATTTCTGGAACTTCAACTCTACCGTTTTTTGTAGCCTTGTGATCAATCTGTTGGTTATTTCCATCTTGCTCCAAACGGTCTTGACCATAGGAGTAATGATATTCAATCTGTGGTTTCTTGTCAAAGGAGGACAGTTCAACCGCATCGACTAGCGGGAAATTTTTGTCTGGATTTTGGTCTAGGGGAGAGCGTTCTGAGTTATTGTTTAAAAAGAATAGGTTCTCAGTCTCAAGATTATTTTTTTCCATCACGGTGGCAGCAGTGCCTAAATAAGTAATTGAACCAATATCAAATTCTTTGGGTACTATTCCAAACGTGATCGAATTCGGTAGAACTGTCGCTCTCATCCCCGTATCAACAACCCGATCTCGGTGGGCAATTCTACTGTTACCTTTGTGAGTGTCTAGTCCGTCAGCAATTCTAGCGTTACCTCCTTGGATGTCTAGTCCGTCAGCAGTTATAACGTTACCTCTTTGGGTGACCAGTCCGTCAGCAATTCTAACGTTACCTCTTTGGGTGACCAGTCCGTCAGCAATTCTAACGTTCCCTCTTTGGGTGACCAGTCCGTCAGCAATTCTAACGTTACCTCTTTGGGTGTCTAGTACGTCAGCAGTTTTAACGTTACCTCTTTGGGTGACCAGTCCGTCAGCAATTCTAACGTTACCTTTTTGGGTGTTCAGTCCGTCAGTCACATATTTGGTTGGGTCAATTGACTGGTCAGGGAGAATTTGTTCGTCAGACTGGACGGCCGGTACCGTTCCCATGCGTTGGTCAGTGTAAATCTCTGTGGTTAACGAGGGGTTCAGTGCACTTTCTTCTGGGGTCCTTTGATTTTGGTGGCTTGGCCTAAAATTCTCTTTCGGATTCTCATTATGTTGGTCTCTAGAGGAAATCATTTTTGGGTTGGGTTGTTGACTGAATTGGTATTTCGCTGGATCAAGAATTGATGCTTCCTCTTCCTGCGTGCCAATTGAAGTTTGGAAACTTGATGCGCCATCTTCTAGTTCACCGTAATATTCGGTGCTGTTTTTGTCAAATCTGACTAACTCTCTTCTTCTTCGACGACGACCCATCTTGTCCATGGTCTGTTGAAAAAGGCAATCAACTAAGTTGGAACTTCTTTGCCATTAAGGGCCCATCTTATCAAAGTTTTCGTTCAAGTACAAATAACAATTATCATTTCCATTGTTTTGTAATAATATTACTGCACGAGCAACTAATTTTTTTGGAATATAGGGAATTGAAGACTGAATTCAATTTGATGAAATATTATCAATAGGCGTTAAGATTTATAGAATGCAAAATATTAATTAAGGTTATTTATAAATAGAAAATAGATTTATTCTAATATAACACTTCTAACTCTTTTGACCCATTAAATTTTTTGATGGTGCTTATTCTTTGTAGCTGAATAGGTGCAGTATATTATTCGCAACACTTTAATTAACAAAACTTTAGCAAACTTTTCTGGCCCATCCTGATATTCTGGGACAAGAAATGTCCATTCCTACACAAGGTGAGTCACATTTATATCGCTTCATATGAGGATGTAGAGGGCTGTTAAAATCTGTGTTGACGAAGGGTACTCACCTTCTTCATGTCCCCCTGACACTCTGCGGGTACTTGGGCACTAAGGGTAGTTAAGACATAGGTTGACAGGAGGCACCCACCTTCTTCATGTCCCCCTGACACTCTGCGGGTACTCGGGCACTAAGGGTAGTTAAGGCACAGGTTGACAGGAGGTACCCACCTTCTTCATGTCCCCCTGACACTCTGCGGGTACTCGGGCACTAAGGGTAGTTAAGGCATTGGTTGACAGGAGGTACCCACCTTCTTCATGTCCCCCTGACACTCTGCGGGTACTCGGGTACGAAGGGTAGTTAAGGCATTGGTTGACAGGAGGTACCCACCTTCTTCAAGTCCCCCTGACACTCTGCGGGTACTCAGGCACTAAGGGTAGTTAAGGCATAGGTTGACTGGAGGTACCCACCTTCTTCATGTCCTCCTGACACTCTGCAGTTACTCGGGCACTAAGGGTAGTTAAGGCATAGGTTGACAGGAAGTACCCACCTTCTTCATGTCCTCCTGACACTCTACAGTTACTCGGGCACTAAGGGTAGTTAAGGCATAGGTTGACAGGAGGTACCCACCTTCTTCATGTCCTCCTGACACACCCCACAGTCCCCTGAGCAGAGGTCCACCTGGCACTCTATCATCACTTCCATCTGGTCGGGAAACTTGAATGCCTGAAACATACATAGGTGTTAGAGATGTAATATGGTTGTGAATTATTGTATCGAAGTGTTTTTAATAGGTTATACTAAAGCAGGTGTTTTGCTCATACTCGTAGACAAACGCTTAAATGAATAGCTTTAATAAAGATTATATAGATACTCTTATCTCATTATTAATTTTTATCTGTTGGTGGAAATGCGAATTCTATTTTAATGACTGCTTCTGGTACCATTATTGGTTTCGTCGGTGAATGTATATGATCTAAACAAAGAGTCTATTCAATCTACATATAGCCTGTATGTAGACTTACAATTAATTGTGAGGTAACTATAGTTACCAGCCAGCCTGTTGTAGTATGTAGAACAATGTTTAGGAAATAAAATAACCTTTGGCCCCCCAGTTTGGAGGTGCTACACGGAAATGTGCAACGTTACCTGGAAGAGTAAAAGTCAAGGAAGTGTGCGTTACCTGGAAGAGTGAAAGTCAAGGAAGTGTGCGTTACCTGGAAGAGTGTATGTCAAGGAAGTGTGCGTTACCTGTAAGTGTGTAACGCCAAGGAAGTGTGCGTTACCTGTAAGTGTGTAACGTCAAGGAAGTGTGCGTTACCTGGAAGAGTGTAATGTCAAGGAAGTGTGCGTTACCTGTAAGAGTGAACGTCAAGGGAGTGTGCGTTACCTGGAAGTGTGTAACGCCAAGGAAGTGTGCGTTACCTGGAAGAGTGAACGTCAAGGAAGTGTGCGTTACCTGTAAGTGTGTAACGCCAAGGAAGTGTGCGTTACCTGGAAGAGTGAACGTCAAGGAAGTGTGCGTTACCTGGAAGAGTGAACGTCAAGGAAGTGTGCGTTACCTGGAAGAGTGTAACGTCAAGGAAGTGTGCGTTACCTGGAAGAGTG